GATGGTGTTGTCATATTTGTATTTATTGTTCCATTTGATGGTGTTGTCATATTCGTAGTTACATCCCTAAATGAAAAAAACAACTTTTTTCTCTTCATATATAATCTATTTGTAGTACTTACAAGCATAGATCATCGATAACAAAAACTTCTCCCTGTCGAGTATTATCATTTGATGCATAGAATGTAATTGTATTAATATCAAACCAATTTAATTCAATTGTAGTTGAACGATTTTTTCCTATTTTAAATGATGCTTCTTTATAATATGTCGATCCACGTTGTGAAATCATTGATAGTGTAACATTGTTTTCCCGTGCAGCTGAGACCATAAATGATTTAATAGTGAATGTATTCGGTTGATCTATACGAATTGTCATTGAATCACCATTCATATTAAATGCTACCCATGTGCCTGATGTTACAGCAGAATAAAATCCACTTTCAGACGATTGTGTATATACTTGTGTATCAAGTGCATACGCATTTATCCATTTTAAATCATAATAACCATCTGGGATTTTAGAGTATGTCGTTGCATTTTCAAATGTAATCAAACTTGAATCCGAACAATCTAATAAAATTTTTTAAAAATGTAGGTCCTTCATACAGTACCCATACAAATTAATATTTAATGTAAGACTTACTTAATTGTTGAGCAGTGGTTGTATTCGTTGGTGGTGTTGCTGTTGTTGTCATGAATGTAGTTGTTATTGATGTTGTTGCTGTGATTGTAGTTGTACTGTTTGTCACTATTGATTAAAATAAAATATTTATATAAATAAATTTTATAATGCAAAAGTTATTTCTCTATTGAAAAGTTCAATTCGAATATTCAGAATGCATATATTTACTATTTCAAAAAATCGTCAATTCTTTTTCACTAATTGTTCTCTTACTTTCCATCGATGGACAGATTCGTTGATCCATCATCGACACTGGATAACAAAGAGGAATATCACGACAACGAATATGTTGGACACATATAGTATCAGGTTGATCACATGCGTTGCTCGATGAGTTACATGGCTTAAGCTGCGAACAAATCGGCCAAAGAAAGCCACAAATACCAGTGTCAACAAGACCTGCCATATGAAAACAACCACAAGCTCCGTTCAATGAACATGGACCATATTGATCAACATCCAGACATAATTGTGATCTCACTTGGGCTATCAAAGAAATCAATTAAATAGATAAATGTCTAGAAGAGAATAGAAATCAAACCTGTAGCACTAAAATGAATAATTATTAAACATTAGTACAATAAAACTAAAAAAATTATTAATATGCTTTACCTTAGAAGAATGAAAACGAGACAAATTGCGTTACTTATCATCATTTACGTCGCAATGAGATAGAATCGTGAAAGAATCACCCTTTTATTTCTAATACACAGGTGATATATTAAGCTATATATATTGAAATGCACAATTTTTGCAGAGTAATGCTTCGATAAATGGAAATTTGATATTATTCTATTCTACATGAAATTAAAAAGAAAACTAAATTAATATATGATGTTTGCAAGAATCAATATGTTTTGTCATTGCTACGAAGCAGAAATATTTTCGTTCTCATTTTTTTCAAATTGTTTTAGTCATGATAAAGGACAAATGTAATTATAGTGCTCCGAAAAGTAAATACGTAAAAGAAGTATTTCGATCCATTTCTTTTAATTATATTATAGATATTTATCTTGATTTAGCCACACCCACACCTTCAGTCCTTTTTCATATGTCACAGATAATTAAGTTCGTCTCGTGAACGTTTAATGTAGATAATGTATTGTTTTTAACTTTAGATTCGAATTAATTTTAAGTAGAATATTTTGCCGATAAGATTAACCTAAATAAAATATAAGGAATTTATTTATTTTTCTTATTTTGTCGTTAAATTAATCTTAACACAAGAAAAACAAATTATTTCCATAAATGAATATTTTTTATATTGAAGTTCATTGCAACATCATCAACCAATCACTCCGGTTCAAACAATCATCAGTTGATCTTGAGAATGCGAGTTTGCTTACGAATCAATATAACAATCACTACCACTTAACCACATCTAAACTTTACACACTCATACCCTCGTTACCCACCGACATACATGTCCTCACCCTCATCTTAGATGGACATTTTTGTAGTTTTTTCTATGAGGCACAATATTTTAATTTTATTATTAAAAATCAAGGATACTTTTTGTCTAAGTTGGGTGTCGTTGTGGGTGTTATTACTGCTATGCCCAAACCCATACCTTCGAGGATTATTTCTTACGTATATTATTCATTGTTTGAGCTTCTTTCCAAATAAGTTGAAAGTCTCAAATTATAACAGAGTATGATTCTGATCGAATTTTTGGAGATTTAATTGTATAATCAGCGCCATTTATTTTGATTGGTCATTTGTCTTTATCAAGTAATTCATTGAGGATTGTGATGTTTCGTGTACATATAAGTAATACATTTTTAAATCCATATCTGTCAATAATATCAAGTTTCTTCTTATTCTTAATCTCCCATTCTTTAACTAGTCCTTCAATGAATTTTCTATCATTATAATTGTTCAGAGATTTGAATTCAAGGGTAATTGGTGGTCTTTGATTATGTGAGACCTGATCGTTTAACATCACCTTTTCTTGATATATTATTCGTACTTGAGATTCAGTTGCACTTTCATCTTCGAAACGTAAGCGTTTGTTTGATTCCTGGTGTTTCAGGATCTAGTTCTAAACATGGAGTTGAGGATGAATCATCATTAAATCCATATAATACTATGACAGTTGATACAAGAGCGACAAAATAAAACGAATACAACACGTTTTATCTCTATACTTGCAAGAGGACGAGTATCAATTTTATATTGAATGACTCATGAATCATGTCACATATAATATTTTTTTTGTTTTTTTCTTTGCTGATACTTTTTGTTTTGCACACTTCATTTACGCAAAAGAGCGTGGTTATGTTATCGCATTTATATACGCTCATTTTAGAATTTCACAATCAGTTTCAAAAGAATAAATCAAACAGTAAAATAAGTAACGTTATAGGCATTTATGATGATATTACAAAAAAAATGTTACAAGATGAAACATTCGATTTAACCAATAATTAGTAAGTGTATAAAACGTTTTTCAATAATACACGAACGATTTTTAGATATTTTCGACTAATTCAACTGTACCTATTATGATCAATTTCTGAAATTTATTACAAGAATATTATCATGTATAATGAAATAAAAATAAAATCTGTGCATTTATTTAATCAAGATACGAATTTTCGGAAGAAAAATTGACGTCATAATGAAATAAACCAAGATCAAAGCTGATGAAAAGGAGAATTTCATGGCTTTATATTATAATAGTCTTGCTTAATATTTTGTCTTTCAGATCAAACTTATACAACTTTCGACGTTTTTTAGAAAAAAATCTTTGAAAATATGGCATCATCATCATCATCATCATCACCATTAGGTTAGTATGAATAACAACATATCTTTTGAAAACTTTCGGTACAAACAGCTAATATATTTTTTGTAGAAGAATCTATCGAATTAAATAAATGTGTTTCGGCAGATGGTGCGATTACTCGTGAACGAGACATAAATGAACAAAACAATGAAGCCGAGTCCGACTATGATAAAATACGTACGTCACTATTTCTTCCGTTGATTAATATACGACTGTTTTTATAGAGACTTTTATTCTTTTTGTTTTACTTAGGTGTAGTCAGAAGGGATTATAATACGATTGTGCTTTTTGATACCTGTCCATCGAATGAAGAAGCCGATGCTAGTCCAGCATTGACACCGTTACTAGGCCCAACTTCCTCAAACGCATCTCAAAACAAAGAAAAAATAACAACGACAAATACACGATCGAGTTCGGATCGACGTATGTCTGACTTTAACTAGAAATACAATTAGAATTTTTATTTCTATAGATCTAAGTGAATAGAATAGGGATCAAGTGCTCGGATGGTTCCAATCATATAAACTTGATGAGTATATACGTCACTGAAACTATGAAAATTAATGATTTTTCTAGATAATATAATTCTCTTCTAGATTACATACTTGGTTATTTCTTGAAAGTGACACTAAGGATGGTGCAAATCTAGCGAAAATATTTGAACTAAAACTGAAAGTAAGTAAATTGTACAATGACATTGCAGTCTCAATGTTCGCTATTAGTATCCTTACAGTTATAGTTTTTGTGAATTAATTTTACAATTCATTTTTATATTTAATGGATGACTGTGCTTCAAATGTAGGATAGGTATAATATCTACAACCCCTGTTTCTCCTATCTATAATGCAAGACAGAAAAAACAAATCATAATTTGTTGATTTAAAATTTATTACAAATATATCATTCTTTTCTGATTATTATAGGATGATTTCTTAAAACAGGATATGTCATACAATTTTTAAAATTCTTTATCTTTTCGATGATATATTTAGGTACTAAATTCGATAGTTCGAGTAAAAGTTTATTTACTGGATACATAAATCAACACGTTACTATATTGTGGTTCCTGTACGCCCTTGTTTATATAATAAATAGTTTACTTTATAGCATATCTTCTATTCTATCGAGTGGCATATGTAAATGAACAAAGTAACTGAAATATACATTTCAGGAACGTTTCTGAACGACAAAAAAAACGAGTTTTGTCTTTAAAAATTGGTAAAGATCAAGATTACATTTAGGTTTGACCATTTATTTGAGAAATAAAGAAGAAAACGAAAACAATCTAATTGTGAAAAGGATGAAGTTGCGTTTGTACTTTTTTAAAACGAGATATATGTTTAAATAATTTTTGGACTAGTTGCATATTTTTTCTTTCATATATTTCGTCAATTTAAAATTATGAACGTTACAAAGTTGGATACATAAATCGTTTACCATCCGACAAAGACAATCTTTTGAAAGATTTCCATCGATTTGGACAACTGCTCGATACATATTTTATTGATAAATATGCACATCGATTTGATGTTGCATTCTCATTCCCAGGTAATTAAAATATGTAAACTCTTTCTCCGTCAATAATCTGCACAACTCAATTGTGAGACACAAGTTTAGTCATATTTGCATTGTCTATGTGAATATCCTTGGCTGCTAAAGTACTTCTGAAACCATACTTTGTGAATTTGTAGACCTTTAGTTGACTTCAGAGACTCTAAAAAGGTTTGAAAGTCTAGTCCTTTCTGTTAAATTTCTAAGAGGCAGATACGCTTCTATGACGTTGCATTTATTTTTGTCTTCTTAAAAGAAAATACTTCTATTCTTTACTTTCTAGGTGATATACGTGATCGAGTTAGTAAAATAGCCGAAAAACTATGTGAAAAAGTTAATAAAAAAAAGATTTTTTACGATAACTATCACAAAGTTGAATTAGCACGTCCAAATTTAGATCTTTATTTACAAGAGATATATCGATATCAAACAAGGTTAGTTGTCGTTTTTATGTGTGCCGATTATAAACGTAAAGAATGGTGTGGTATAGAAGCACGTGCTATACTTGATTTACTAAACACTGTTCAAAGCGATCGAATTATGCTATTAACAGTAGATGGAACAATAATAGATGGCGTTTTGCGTAATGATGGACGTCTGAATATTTCAAACAAGAGTGACGATTATGTAGCAGATGGAATCTATAAGCGCTTGAACAGCCTTGGTGAAGCACTCCCGCCATCACGATCATCACCTTCACCACCACTACAACCATTACAAGAAAGCATATTATTAAAAATGATTTTGGCTTCGAAAAATATTTTAAACTTAATATCACCATGGTATGTCGTAGTTGGGTTATTATCGTACATTTTGGGCACTTGGATTGGACGTTAGAACGATATATTAGTTTTTTTGAGGAGCCTTTAAAAAACTATAACTTTATTTATCATATTTTTAATATTGTTTGCTTCATTTAAAATGGGTCTCATGACTGTTCAATGGAAAAATAAATACATCACATTTGATCAGGAGAGAAAAGCAACGGACAACTATACTTATCCACCCAGTTAGACTAATCACGCACTGAAGAGTTGAGAGCGACGGAATGAGAGCTGAGCAGGTGGGTGTGGATGTATGTGTGAGGGGATGGTTAGGCGTGGGTATACCTTGAG